ACTTAAAAAAGATGAGAATTTGAAGGAATGGCAGAAGGGCATAAATAAGTTTGTGTGGGCAGGGAAGAAACCACGAGTCAAACAAAAGATATTGCAAGATACTAGAGAAAGAGGTGGTCTTAAAATGCCCAATTTAAGATTGTATTATGAAGCTGCTGCCCTCTCAGCAATCACAGATTGGATAAACTTAACGGAGGAAAAGATATTGAATATTGAAGGATATGGTTTGGTTTATGGCTGGCATGCTTACTTAGTGTATGATAAGAAAGTAGATAAGACTTTTAAAAGTCATATATTAAGAAATGCTCTATTGCGTGTCTGGAAAAAGTATAAATATAAACTAAATGATAGGTTACCAATATGGCCAGTACCCAGACACGCGATAGAGAACATAAATTTAGAGCAAAAGCAAGATAAGATTACATATAAGGAACTCCTTTATAAGGAAGGAGTCAGACTACAGTTAAAATCCATGGAACAATTAAAAGAAGAAGGGATTATTAAGACTTGGTTTCAATATGGACAGCTGCTGGCCAGATGGAGAGAAGATCAAAAAATTGGTATTTTGCAGCAGGATGAGAATTTGATAAAGCAAATAAGAGATGAAGGTCAAATGCACATAAAAAGGTTGTACAATGCATTATTGGAAATAGATTCAGAAACAGACTTAGTCAAGGATTGTATGATAAAATGGGCACAAAATGTAGGTGAACCAATAATGATGGAAACATGGGGAAAGATATGGGTTAGAAATGTAAGATTTACACAAGCACAAAATTTAAGGGAGAATTTTTACAAAATGTTTTATAGATGGCATTTAGACCCAAAAAAACTAGCTTGTATGTATCCAAATTTACAACCCAAGTGTTGGCGATGTGAGTGTGAAGATGCTACATATTTTCATATATGGTGGACATGTAAAAAGATTAAGGCTTTTTGGATAAAAATATGGTGGATTATTCAAAATATTTTGAAGAAAAAAATTAAATTTACACCACAGTTTTTTCTGTTGGGAATAGTTACGGATTGTACTGTAATAGAGACTAAGCTGGTTTTGAACTTAATAACAGCTGCCAGATTACTGGTGGCACAGTACTGGAAGAAGGAAGATCCACCTACTATTGAGGAATGGACATTAAAAGTTGTGCATTTGGCGGAAATGGCAAAAATTTCATCATACCTTAAAGACCATTCAAATGAGAGATATATATCGGAATGGAGAAAATGGATTGATTACATACAGAAGAAGTATCCGAATAAGAAGATTCATATAGCTTATGAATGAAATAATATTAAGTAGTTTATGTTTGTTTTTTCGGAGTTATAAGGAGTTAAGGACCTAGGGAGAATATGAAATGTAATAATTTGTTAGCACATTTTAGTTCTTGGTTTGTGAATGCTATACCCTGTGCTCGTTCTGGGAAGTCTAGGGAGGGGGGTGGGGGGAGGGAGGGGAAGGGAGGGTGGGAAGGGGAGGGGGGGTTGAGGGGGGAAGGGTGGGGGGGTGAAAATGTTTGTATTTTTCATAAAACTTTTCAATTAAAAAAAAAAAAAGTCCCTAGATCTGAAAAAGATTCAAGTTACACAGGAGCTTGCTCTTCCTGAGACCATTGTCTGCCAACTGTCCCTAAATACCAAACTTTGCTTTTTACTATGTTACAGAGCCCCTGATTACGACCTCAACCATGCAAACAAGCTAACTGCACTACTAATGTGGGCAGCTTCCTGCTCACACCCTATTATATTTCTTGGTGACTTCAATTTACCTCTAATTAATTGGACCCTAAACAAATGTACAACTGAACCGATACATGCAACCCTGTACAATACCGTTACTACTCTGGGACTGGATCAATTAGTAACAAACAACACTAGACTCAACAACTGCCTTGATCTCATCTTCTGCAACAGTTTAAACTCAATTTATGGGCTACAAATAAAAGAACTTTTTTCCAACAGTGACCACAGCATGATTGACTTTTGTCTCAATTTATGTCCTTGCAGAGAAGAGCATAATGACAGGACTCCAAATTATAACTTTAAAAAAGCAAATATGATCTCAGAGTTGTTGACCTCTCATCTCTTGATTGGCACATTCTATTCACTGGCTGTAATACTGCTGAAGACCATTTTAAACTTTTTTGTTCGAAGTCAAAAGAGTCATTAAACTATACATACTAATAGTAACCCCTAAAGCCAGAAAAAACAAATTACCCATAACAATAAGGAAGCTCCAATCCAAAAAAAAAAAATCTCTTTGGCAAAAAACCAAAACTGGCTATGTAGCTAACTTTAAAAGCTGCTATAAAACCTTATGCCGTCAGATAAAGGCAGAATGCCCCAATTACTACTGCAAACAAGAGGAACAGTTGTTACACACAAAACCCACCCGCGCCTTCTATAATTTCATAAATAACAAACTTAAAGACTCGAAAACCATGCCACCCCTAAAAGGGCCTAATGGGAAAGACTGTAATGATGAAGCCGTTAAGGCCAATCTCTTCAACACGTTCTTCAGTTCAGTCTTTGTCAACAGCAATGGCTCATGCCCTACATTTCCTAGTCGTATCACAACTAATTGCAACAATATGCTATGTATTGATTTTACAGAAGATAACGTTGAAAAGGTATTATGCAACTTAGAACTATCTCTATTGGCCGTGATGGATTATATGCTTACTTCTTGAAAAAGTTTTCCACTGCCATAGCTGAACCACTAAGCAAATCTATGAGATATCTTTCAGAACCAGCTCCTTGCCCAACCTATGGTCATTAGTCACAGTCATTCCTATCTTCAAAAAGGGAGACCCCAGCCTAGTTGAAAATTACAGACCAATCTCATTATGTTGTGTCATAATGCAAAGTCATGGAATCAATCATAAACCAATCCATTAACACACACACACCCACTTAGAGTCAAACAACCTACTCTCTAACAAGCAGTTTGGTTTCAGAAAAAAATTGTCCTGTAATCTACAACTCCTACACTGTAAAAACATTTGGACTACACAATTCGACCAGGGTAAAGCAATAGACACAATTTACATAGACTTCTGCAAAGCCTTTGATTCAGTGGTACACGACAAACTACTGTTAAAACTACGCTCTTACGGCATTTCCGGATCACTGCACAAATGGATAGTTGCATTCCTGTCAAACAGGCAACAAGTAGTCAAAATAGAGTGACCTATCAAACCCTGCACCAGTTAACAGTGTTGTCCCCCAAGACAGATTCTAGGACCCATTCTCTTTCCAATATACACAAATGACCTTTTCAATGATATTATAAGCAACTGCATCCTCTTCTCTGATGACGTAAAACTATTTAACACCACCATCAATACTGCTGCCCTACCAAGCAACCTAGACTATGTGTCAGAATGGTCAAACAATTGGCAACTTCAAATCTCAACCAACAAATGCTCTGTCTTACACATTGGCAACAAAAACCAGAACACCAAATACAAGTTGGGCGGATACAACCTCGTAGATGACCCTCACTCTGTCAAGGACCTAGGAGTACTCATTTCAAAAGATCTAAGCCCTAGAGATCACTGTAACAGCATTGCCAAAAAGGCATTAAGAGTTGTTAACCTAATTTTGCGAAGCTTCTTCTCCAGTAACATTGTACTGCAAACCAGGGCATACAAAACCTTTGCCAGACCAATACTTGAATACAGCTCGTTTGCCTGGAATCCACACTGTATATCAGACATTAGTACAATTGAGCGAGACCAGAGGTATTTCATGAGAAGAGTACTCCACTCGTCTTCTCGCAATAGAATACCAGGCTTGAAATTTTAGGCCTGGACAACCTAGAACTACGCCACTTACGGTCTGACTAAGCTTAGTACACAAAATTGTCTGCTACAGTGTCCTACCTGTCAATGACTACTTCAGCTTCAACCGCAATAATACACGGCAAACAATAGATACAAACTCATAGTAAACTGCTCCAAATTCGATTGCAGAAAATACAACTTCAGCAACAGAATCGTCAATGCCTGGAATGCACTACCTGACTCTGTTGTTACATCCTCAAACCCCCATAACTTTAACCTTAAAATGTCTACCGTGGACCTCACCCCATTCCTAAGAGGTCTGTGTGCATAAGCGCACCAGCATGCCTACCGTCCCTGTCCTACTGTTCCCATTTATTTGTACTCGTTTCTTATGTTTATACTTATATGTTTATATGTTATGTTTATACTTATACTTATTTTCTCATACATGCTTGACAAATAAATAAATAAAACAAATAAATAAATAAGAATAAACTCTCCCACTGCTGCCAGGTATAGCAACAGAAAGCTTGTAACAGACACAGTAGCAGGTAATATTGGGGGGAAGTAGGAACGAAGGGAAAAGATGCCAAGCAAATATTCTGGAATTGTTTCTGGCCCCTTTTCCAGCCATGGCCACAGGGCGGTCTCTAGCTTCTTCTGTGTAATGAAGTAATGTGTCATACTGGTATGTGTGTGTTTCTGCTTCCCCCTCCCCCTCCCCATTGTTTCTGTGTGTATGCACTAGGAAGCATGAGTGGACTGTATATGATATAATCCAAGTCGTATAATCTGAGGAGGTGGTCCAAGCCACAACATATCAGAGGGATCTTTAGGGAAATCTTTCTAGTATTTTTTGTTTCTGCCCTCCCAACTTCATCTTTCAATTTTCAGAAAATTATCATGCAGAGATAGACTGGCAAATCTTTGCTCCCTTTAAATAATTTTCCATTGATTTGGAAAATATATAAAGAGACTAAGATTATTTTAATACTCATTTTGTCTCCCACTCCTGCAGAAGAAAACATCAGTGACGTCTGTTACTTAGTTATAGTACTGAAAACTCTTGACGCTGCACTAAAAGTACATCTCAGAACCACAACCTTTCCATATGTAGCATATGTGTGTCTGGGTGCACATGCACATGATGTATTTGTGTTTGTGTGTGTGTGTTTACGTATAAATGTAAAGAACTGTGCTACAAGTCAGGAGGGATACCTTGGAGCACATTTCATGCAGAGCTTTGGCAATAGCCTTGCCAGGCACATTGCAGTGGAAGACATGGCACTTCAGCACACACGTGTCCTTGTCACTGGCCACGAAAGCAAAATCCCTGCAAGGAGAGGAGAGCCCAATGAGCAAGAGCAGGGCTCCAAGCACTAGCTTTGCTTCAGGAGGAAGAGGGAAACTTACCTGTCCCTTGATCAAGCATAGCATGTAGGGGGAAAAAAGAACGGTTAATGAAGAGTATCTGAAGCACCTACCCTGTTAATAGCTTGGGAATAAATGGTAATCCCACATGATAAGGGTAGAAAGATCCCATGGGAAAGTCAGGGTGGTGGTGGGTAATCCTAAATTTTTGCACCCAACAACATCTATAGCTTAATAACTCACTAGATACAACACGTAGACTGAAAAGTTGCCCTTGGAGTTTGGTTTCAGTAAGAAGGTCTCCTTTCTCCAAACCACCCGTCATTACTCACCTGCCTTTGTTGCAGCCCACCCCCCAAACACGAATATTGATGATGGGCTGGCAGTGGATGAGGCTGTGATCCAAAGGATCCACCAAGTTCATTGTGTCCTCCTTGAGAATCATCACCATGTTTTGACCCTGTTAAGGAAGGCCAAGAAGTGTGAATGGTGCAGGAATGAAAATCCCTCTGTTTAAGGCATGTTTAGCAAAAGCTGTAATAATGGGGATAGACTGGGAGGACTATCCTATGATAGATTAAAAAGGAAAGTTCCTTAACATAACATCTTCCTATCACTGATAGGAAGAATAGCTACCATTAAAATGAATATTTTGCTGAGATTATGATACTTGTTAAACAATTCCAATAAAGTTGGAAAAAAATTTTTTTGAGGAACTGAGTAGATTAATGTCAAAATTCATTTGGCAAGGGAAAAAAGCAAGAATAAGTTTGAAATTGCTACAATATTCTAAAAAGAGAGGAGGTTTTGGGTTGCCAGATTGGGAGTTATATTACCAGGCATCTGCACTTACATGGCTGAAAGAACGGATAAATCTGAGACATAGACAACTATTAATTTTGGAGGGACATGACTTGCAATTTTGGGTGGCATGCCTTCCTATAGTATGGGGGGAAAAATACACAGATACTTCCAAGGACACTATTTCAGACATACATTATTGTTAATATGGGCAAAAATTAGAGAAAAGCGCTATTTAAAAATACCAGTCTGGCTTTCCACAATGGAGGCACTGATACATCCAAATGTGGTTAACATGGAAAAAATCATAAGATATAAAGACATTCTGAATGAGAAAGGGGAACTTAAAAGTAAACAGGAATTAAATACTCAAGGGATTGATTTAGCATGGTGGCCATATATACAAATACAATCAAGATATGAGAAAGATGTCAAAACATATGGTTTTTATAAAGAACTAACAGAATTAGATCAGATCCTAACAGGAACAGATGAAAAGTTAATTTAAAAAATTTACAACTATTTACTGAGCATTAGAATGGAAGAACAACAAGTAAAAGAAACAATGATAGTGTGGGCTAAAAACTTTGGCTACTCAATAGAATTAGACAAATGGCAAAAGTTGGAGAGGAATTATAAATTAACAATGTCAACTGCATATAAAGAAAACTTATATAAAATGTTTTACAGATGGCACTTTCCACCGGCAAGACTAGCTAAGATGTTCAAGGATATCTCTGCTAAGTGCTGGAAATGTAACAGACACTGGGCTCGTATTACCACATGTGGTGGACGTGCCCAAAGGCAAAAAAAACCTGGACAAAAAAACACATTTGGATAAGAAAAAATGATAAAGGAACACATAGACTTAAAACTGGAAATATTTCTGTTGGGTATCATACCAGAAAAATATAATAAAGGGAATATGTACTTAATACTACAGGTGTTAACAGTGGCTAGAATTGTATTTGCACAACACTGGAAGAGCATAGAGATCCCTACAGAAGAGAATGTAATAAAAAAAAAAACCAGAATGTGCAGAAATGGATAGATTAACACTAAAAATTAAAGACAAGGAAGACACTGAATATTTCTTAATATGGGATTCGTTCTATCAATGGTTAACGAGCAGAAACAGAAGTTGGATTTGAAAAAATATAAGAGAATGACTAATTTTGTAAAAATAGTTTATCAAATGGATGAGTAAGCTCTATATGTTTATTATCAATGTTATGATGAGATATCATTGTTACTATATGATTATTACTATGTTATGAATGCTATTGTTATTATGACGATGATTATTGTTCAAACTAACTATACCCAGACAACACACTGTTTATACATCTGAGCTCTCAGCATAAATTTACCTATGTTCATTTACAGAGTCTTTAGATTTAGAATTATATCACCAAACCATTCTAATATAAATCTAACACTGTAATCTACTCTTGAACAAAATAGAGCACCTGTGTTTTCACTATTTTGTTTTTGTTTTGTTTTGAAGAAGGCACAAATGAGAGACAGTTTGGTGTGGTGGTCAAGGTAACCAGGCTAGAAACAGGGAGACTGCAAGTCCTGCCTTGGGCACAAGTGGGTTGCGTTGCCTTGGGTTAGTCACTTGGGTCAGTCCTAGGAAGCAGGCAATGGAAAACTGCTTCTGAAAAGCTTGACAACAAAACTGCAGGGACTTGTCCAGGCAGTTTCTGAAAATTGGTCACGCTGAATGGAAGGGGCGGGGGGGAAGGGAACAAATGCATTCATTTTTTATTCAAGCTTATTCAAGTGTTTTGTCCTATTCCAGCAGTTGTCATTGCAGTGTTGCTTTGCCTTCAAAATCTTTTGAATTTTCCTCCTCAGGTGGGACCAATCACTTCCCTGTTGGGATTGGCTTAGACCAAATGGGAAGGTTTGGGGGCGAGGGGAGGAGTTTGGAATGAAATAGAAGGATTTAACAGTACATACTCTAGGTATATGGAACTGGATCTCATTGTAAAGCTGTTCATGTGCTTCAAATTCCTTTTTGCATAACTTTTTCAGATAGACACGTAAAAGCAGAAGGAGCTAATTTCTGAGCAGGAACTTTTATTATGGTGCTTTCCCCCTTATATTCCTGTTCCTCCCCAGTCTGTTTTAGTTTAGTCTATGGAAAGTTGGGTTAGGGCATCTTGGGAACTAGTGGTCTGCTGAGTTTGGCCCCGTTTTTGGTTTTCTTCCACATTTCCCTACAAGTAGCCTTACCAGGATTTAGTTCAGGATTAGTTTAGTTCAGGATTTTCAAGGGTTTGGATCAATTGGCTTTGATCAGTGGGAAACTCTTGCTTATTTTTTCTTTCAATTGAGCCACTCCAATGGCTTCCAATATTTTCTTCATCTCCAACTTTCCCTATCTCCAACTCTACTAACTTGCAACTGTTTCTCTGACAGTTATATTCATACACTCTAGGTTTTCTGCTGGGGTGAACTTTCTGTTAAGAAGCAGGCTGCATTGACGGCCTCAGGGGAGGCGAGTTTGGCCATGTCAAATTCCCCTACTGCCCAGCTGTTCATAAAATTGTCCTCTGCTGCCATATATATTTTGAAGAAGGGGCTGTGCCAGCCCACACTTTACTGATCAGCTGATTAAATAATAAAACATCAAATAGGTTTTTATTTCCTGGCTATATCCCACTGTGATTCTTCTTGGTATAAGCCATTTTGTTTAACTTACTAGTTTGATTTTCTGTTCTCAAGGCTGCACTTTTTGTATTGATAGAAACTGAAAATAAAGCTCAATTTGGAAAGTCAACATGCCCTAGGTTCAAATGTAATGATATCAGCCTACAATGGAAGAGAAAAAACATGTTTGAAAACAGGAGTGGAAACACTCTCTGGTGCCAACCTTCACCCAGGCCAAGGGACAAAAGAAAACCCCAGAATAGTTGGGTCCAAGAAATTAATGGCTACATTCCAAATGGGGGACAGTGGAATTTGGCAAAAGAAAACAGGTGATATCTTAGGAGCAGATCTTTTTCCCTGGGGTTATATACCTTAGGCACTCACCTCACCCCATCTATCAGCAGGACCAAAATTGTCACAATTGTTTTGGGAAAGTTGCTGGATGCAATTATTTACTGCAATACTGCTTTTGCCTGGTGCCAAGTCCTCCTCAGGAATCTCAACCCAGCCTAGGGAGCGCACAACGAAACACTGGGAAAAGACAGAGGGAGGGAGGGAGGGAGGGAGGGAGGGAGGGAGGGAGGGAGGGAGAGAGAACATTAATAGGCATCAAACATAGCTAATGATTCTCCAACCCTCTTTCAGCTATTTAACAAATCTTATGTGTTACTGGACCCCTGAGCTACATAGAGAAAAAAATTGCTTCCCCAATCCAATTTCCAGCCCGCTGTGTGTAAAATTGGAGACTCCCAATGCAGGGGTATAATGCTGTTGGTTTGGACTGGATCACCCGATCCGGTAGTGATGATGGCGGGTGGTTTGGAGAACCGGTAGCAAAAATCCCTGTCCACCCCCCATGCCCAGCTGAGCCGCGCGATCATCAGAGGCTTTTTTTTTAACTTTTAAAAGCATTTTTTCTTTGACTAAAAAAATGCTTCTAAAAGTAAAAAAAAAAGCCTCTGACGATTACGCGGCTCAGCTGGGATCATCAGAGCCTTTTAAAAGCATTTTTTTACAACCTCTTCGGCTGAAGAGGTTGTAGAAAAAGTGGTTTTAAAAGTAAAAAAAAAAAAAAGTTGGCCACGCCCACCCAGTCACATTACCCTCCCACCACCAAGCCACGCCCACAGAACCGGTAGTAACAAATTTTACATTTCACCACTGCCCCAATGTATCCATTGCTAACTCCATCCAATCTCCAGTCTTTATAACAGCAAACAATTTTTCTTCCTATTTAAGTAATAATGAAATAATGGAAAAGCTTTAATGTTTTCTGTTATTCATTCAGTATCCTATTATATGGGGACCCCAAAGGATCATGAAGCAGTGGGGTTGGTTGGTGCCCTGAGAGCCCTCCTATTGCCTTTTTAATTGATTTTAACAAGGTTTAATTATTCTTGCCTCCCTCTAAAATTTAATTTTGAAATTTTAATTTTAACATTTTAATTTTTATACATACAAATTTAGGCACAATGTTAGAATGCAATTTTGCAGGCTAACTATTCCCTCAGTCAGGAGTTCAATCCTGATCAGCTCAAGGTTGACTCAGCCTTCCATCCTTCCAAGGTCAATAAAATGAAGACCCAGATTGTTGGAGGCAATATGCTGACTCTGTAAACTGCTTAGCGAGGGCTGAAAAGCACTGTGAAGTAGTATATAAGTCTGCAATTGCTATATATTGTTTTTCTATTCTACTGTACGCTGCCCAGAATTCCTCTTTAAGGGAGATAGGCAGTTCAGAAATGTAATACGGGGGTGGGGTGGGGAGAAAATGTGATAGATAGATAGATAGATAAATAGATAGATAGATAGATAGATAGATAGATAGATAGATAGATAGATAGATAGATAGATATAGATAGAGCATCTCAGCAGTCTGTTAATGTTAGTGAAGCAGTCACTAAGTGACATCCAAGTGTGATTATTATTATTATTATTATTATTATTATTATTATTATTATTATTATTTTATTTCTATACCGCCCTTCTCCTGCGGGACTCAGGGCGGTGTACAACCAAGATAAAACATTGCATATAAAATTTAAAAACAATTTAAAAAACAATTAAATAATTTCGGCCCAAAATATTAAAAACAACCCAATTAAAACCAAATTCAATTAAAACTGAGAGGATGGGATCAAGCCAGCCCAGCTAGATGGAATAGGTGTGTTTTCAGGGCCCGACGAAAAGTCCAGAGGTATCTCAGGGGGTAGGTCATTCCAGAGGGCGGGTGCTGCCACAGAGAAGGCTCTCCCCCTGGGGGTCGCCAGCCGACACTGTCTGGCCGACGGCACCCTGAGGAGGCCGTCTCTGTGCGAGCGAACCGGTCGGTGGGAGGCTATTGGCGGCAGAAGGCGGTCTCGCAGATAACCCGGCCCTAAGCCATGGAGTGCTTTAAAGGTGGTCACCGACACGCTTATGATCTTACTTCAGCTTTGCTTTATTTAACAGCCTGCAAATGTCATAAATGTGAAGTTTGGTCATAAAGTTACTATTTCATCACCATCATAAATGCAAAATATTGCTATATTAAACAGTCGCTAAACGAGGACAACCTGTACTGTAACAATCTTCATTTTAGAAAAGGCATTTCTTTAATGTGTGAAATAAAATAAATACTTCCAACTTCTTTATGTACTTTACATTTTTATATACTTTATATCAAACTGGTGGCCCGTGGGCTGGATGTGTCTCACACAGGTCACGCCCACCCTAGCTCCATGAATGGGGAAAAATCATAAAACGTCACGTGGTTTACACTCGTGGTTTACATTAAAGTAAAGTCTGTTGATTTCTACCAAATCTTTTGAGCATTTTTTCATCTTTTAGTAATTTGTTAGCTTGTATTACAGTGTTTATTTTATACTCTCTCTCCTTTACATGGTCTTTTATATGAACAAAGTTGTCAAAGGTTGTTAAGAAGATTGCAGTTCTAAGTTTACCCAGCAACATATCCCACTGACCTACATTTGATTGGTCATGTACAATACTGACCTGAGTATGCTGTAAAGGATATTAAGGATGCACTATAGAGTATAGAATTGATATTCCATTAGCAGAGCAATACAAAAGGGTGATATAATCTTGCTCCTCTAAAATGAGAGTTCCTTGTGCTTATAAAGATTAGTCCCATGTGCTTTTTTCAAGAGACAACTGGACTTTCTGTTTTTTCTTTGAAGACGTTTCACTTCTCATCTAAGAAGCTTCTTCAGCTGTGACTGGATGGTGGGAAATGGAAGGATTTATATTCTTTGCTGATAGCTGGACATTTGTATTCTTTTGGCAGGTCGTTAAGGTCACCTGGAGGTTTATCTGTGTCATCAGGGTCACCTGAGTGGTGACACATCAAGGAAGACAGAAGCCTTAATGCTGAAGTTTACAGAAAACCCACTCACACAGATCAATATTTACATTTTGAATCCCACCACTCACTGGAGCACAAATTGGCAGTCATCAGAACCTTACATCACTGAGCTGAAGGCCTGCCTACCAGCAATGATGGGAAAGAAAAAGAACGTAAACACATCAAGGAAGCACTCAGAACATGTGGCTATCCCAAGTGGGTCTTCATTAAATCTCAAAAAAAACCCTACAGGAGCTCCTCTGTAACAGACAATGTCAAGAACAATAAATGAAGCACATTGTCATTCCATACATTGCAGGCAGGGGTTGGTTCTACTTACCTTTACTACCAGTTTGCAATGGGGCCGCGCACGCATGCTTGCTTCGTGCTTTTCTGATGACGTCGGGGTTGGTGGGCGGAGCCTCCTGCCAGTGTTAATACTGGTTCTATAGAACCGGTGCGAACTGGGGGCAACCCACCATTATTATGTATGTGCACATTTCAAACCCAAGAATACACTAAGGCAGAAGCTTGTCCACCCCAAGGATAAAACACCCAGACACAAATTGAGCAACGTGGTATATGCAGTACAATGCAGTGAGCCATGTCCAGATCTGTACCCTGGGGAAACGAAACAACCACTTCATATATGCATGGCACAACATAAGAGAACAAACCCACCAGGACTAGATTCAGCAGTCCATCTGCATTTAAAGGACACAGGCCACTCTTTTGAAGACAACAAATTCCATATTTTGGACAGAGAGGATCGCTTTAAAAGAGGGGTTAAAGAGGCCACCTATGTCAAAACTGAACAGCTCTCTCTCAACAGAGGGGGAGGGATACGACATCATCTATTTCCAATCTACAACACAATCCTTTCAACAGTTCCAAGAAGGCTCCATACCAATTTGCACCACTGAGGTGACCCTGATGACACAGATAAACCTCCAGGTGACCTTAACCTGCTAAAAGAATGCAAATGTCCAGCTGTCTGCAAAGAATATAAATCCTTCCATTTCCCACCATCCAATCACAGCTGAAGAAGCTTCTTGGATGAGAAACGAAACGTCTTTAAAGAAAAACCAGAAAGTCTACTTGCCTCTTGAAAAAAGCATCTTTGGGATAAACATGACCTGGATGACTGAGAATCTCCATAGACATTTATAAAGATTAGGTTGTCCTTGGCAAGTTCAAAGAAGGGCAAATCCATGACATTTTAAAAGGACAATACTAAACTCATTCTATTTATCCATTCAGCAGCTGAGCTGAATGACTTAATGTCCCACACTACCCCAGACTGTACCTTGGAGCCAGGTTCTGGATTTCCCTGATGAAGATCCTCCTTGTGCCAGGCCAGTGATGTCCTGCAACAGGGTAAACAACCAAAGTGGCAATACAGGAATTCTCAGATAAATAAGACAAGTTTCTGTTCATTCTCAGAAATGAGAGGCAAATTACTGTTGACTTTACTTGCCAGAACGTCTCAAAAGGTGATCATATGACCCCAGGACACTGCAATTGTCATAAATATGAATCAGTTGCCAAGCATCTGAATTTTGATCAGGCATTTTGATCACATGGCCATGGGATGCTGCAACAGTCATAAGTGTGAAAAATGGTCAAGTAACTTTTTTCAGTGCTGTCATAACTTAAAACGGTCACTAAATGAACTACTGTATGTCAAGGACTACCTGTATTTAGCATACCATTCTATTTGATTCCAAATGGTACTGGATGTGGCTGAATATTTATTGCAGGGAACAGACAGATCTTGTAGCTGAAATGTTTTCTCTTTGATCTAGAACAGCAGTAAACTTCTATATGAATACAGGTAATCCTCTACTTATGACCAAAATGGAGCCTGCCCATTACAGCCACATAGTGATGTCATTAAGTGAGGCACCCATATGATTGCCTCAGTTAATGACCCTCATTCCTACTCCCTGTTAAGTGACCGTGTGGGTCGTTAAGCAGAGCATGTGGTGCTTCAAAGGTGGAGGAAATCCTGGGAGACCTAGCACAAGCCTAGGCCTTCACTACAGCACCTCCCCAGCTCACTCGTGAACTGCCCTGGTCCTCACAAGGCCTCCCCATCTCTCTACACCACTTCCCACCCCTCAAGGTCCCCACAAGCCTTGGGTCTGCTTTTCCACCCTACTGGATCTCCATAGACCTTGGGACTGCTTTCCCATCCCACTGAGCCCCACACCCTCCTTCCCACCCCAGACACAATTAGTCACTTACCTTTTATTGCAGCATCCCTACAGTCATGTGATTGAAATTCAGTTGCTTCGGTAACTGAATGTATTTATGACAGTTGCAATGTCCCAGGGTCATGTGATCATTCTTGCAACCTTCTGACAAGCAAAGTCAGTGGGGAAGCCTGATTCATTTAACAACCATATTATTAACTTAACAACTGCAGTGATTTACTTAACAACTGTGGCAAAAAAGGGCGTCAAATGGGGCAAAATTCACTTAATGACTGTCTTGCTTAGCAATGGAAATTTGGGGCTCAATTGTGGCTGTAAGTCGAGGACTACCTGTACCTAGCACCTCACATTAAGGGGCTTGCATTTACAAGCCTACCTCTTGGAGAATGAAGTCACTGGACTTGGGATAAGTGTCTCTGTTGGCACACATCTAACCACAGCAGATTGAAGGTCCTGCATAAGAACAGAAAATAAACTCAAGCTTGTTTATTTGTGAGACTAAGGTCCCACTTTTTATTCACAACTCAAGACAGTTCTCCCCCAATTTTCCCCTCAATTATCCTGTGAAGTAGGTTGGACTGAGAGAGAATGGCTGCCCTACAGTTGCCCAGTTCAACATCGTGATTACTGATTCTCCTGATAATTTGTTCATCAGGAAAAAATATGAAGATACTATTTCAGGGCTCATCTGAGCAGAACGTTATGTGGGAATTATTTCAAGTCATGACTTAGTCTATCCTCTCCAGAAAATCAAAGACCAAAGGAAGCAACAATGGTTTCCCTTCATATTTTACATATTCTTCTTTTTCTTCTTTACTTCCTCTTTTATTGCTTCAGGTGTATTTTATATATAATCTTTATGTTTTATATATAATTTATATATAACTTTATTAAATTTATCAGTGTAAAATACAAATGAACATGAAAATAGTGGGAAAGGGGGAAAAGGGGAGAGAAGTGTAGGATGAAGTGGAAAAAAAGAAAAAAAAAGCATTAACTTTCAACACTTTTCAGTGGAGTAGAATGAACATAATAACGTTACAGCCTCAACTTTTAATTTGCATACTTAGTATATACTAGCCATTTCTATAACAAAAAAACCCCGTCTAATCAGTAAATTCCAAAGTCAACATTTCATTTTTTTTTCTATTTCAAGTACAAAATCCAGAAGCAGTTTCCTGGTAGAAACAAAGATGTATTCTTTTCTTTGATTAAAACAGTTACTGTAATTTGGTCATCTCCACTAGTTCCATCAGTTTCTCCAACCAATCTTCCATTGTGGGAATTAATATATATTTCCATTTTTGCACCTAAAGCATTATCACTACTGTGAACATGTAAAACAACAAAAGTTCCTTTTCCCCCCCCAAGTTCTTTGTCTATTACAGGGAGGCTAACTCCAGGATATCTCCATTATTTTCTATGGACTGTTCTTACTTTTATCCTATAAATAAGGTAGAGGGGAGAGCCAGTTTGGTATAATGGTTAAGGCTCCAGGCTAGAAACTGGGAGACCATGAGTGCTAGACCCACTTTAGGCACAAAACAGCTGGGTCATCTTAGTCTAGTCATTTTCTCTCACTCCTAAGAAGCAGGCAATGGCAAACCACCTCTGAAAAACCTTGCCAAGAAAACTGCAGCAACATACAGTATAACTTAACTGAATTCAATAAAACCTACTACCAGGCAATTGTGCATAAGATTACAGTTTCACTCTGTAATGAAACTTCATTTGTACCAATAGGTATATTGGAAAGTGCTTGGCTTACAAACAGAAGAATATCCATAGAGTCATGGCTGTAATGGAGCCGGCCCATTATGATCATAAGTAGTTGTAAAATAGATCAGTTGTATAACTACCCCAATTTTAAGATCTTTATTTACAGCAGTTGTTATGTGAGCCACCATGGTCATTAAGTGAAATCCATAATGTTAATGTTGTGGCCTGTCAGTTGCCAGCGGAGCTGGCGGCAGACTCGGACAATGAGGAGTTTGGGGAGGAACTTGGGTCAGTTCTGGAGTATGGGGAAGGCTCTGATGAATGCTCTGCATTGGACACAGAGATAGAGCTAGGGCCGTCTGACATTTCCCAGCCACTGGAGAGGCAGCTGCCTTTGGAGGCTAAGATAAATGGGGAGGAAGAACAACTGGGGCCTGTTCCAGGTGTGCGTATGCACAGAGCTATTAGGAGAGGAAAACAACTGAGGACAAGGAGTCCGAGGACTGAGGACCCAGGAAGCAAGGCACACGTGAATGCTGACTGGCCCCTCCCTGGCTGGGGAATAAATAGAAGGAAAGGGGAATGGTGGTCATAGGAGACAACAGTTTGGATTTCTGAAGATTTGGCTCATTGTGTTTCGTGCCTCAGAGACTGCTTGCCAGAACTTAATTTGCAGCTTTAGGGCTGGGAGCTCAAGGCCTGGCAATTATCACAAGGAACTGATAAGGTCTGTTACTGCAGTTAACACTTTGAAGGACTATTGCCTGGACTTCTTGGTGTGTGAATGACATTAATTCACAGGAGATAAATAAAGAGGGGGTTTTGGGACAAGGAGTCTGTTTCTTGTTTCTGCTAAGGCTAGGTCAGAACAGTTACATTGATTAATTGTTCTCATTTCAGAAAATTCCCCCATTGGATCTCTCTCTGATGGGCTTCCACCCATTGCTGCTTCTCCTGCTCTCAGGTACTATGGAGAACAAATCAATGCCCTTTTTTAGTGACAGCCCTTCTAGTACTGAAAGACAGCTATCATGTCACTCCTAATCTTCTCTTTGTAAGGCTATACATACTTAATTCCCTTAGCCATTCATCACACAATTTATCCTCCAAATCCTTTATCATCTTCGTTTGTCTTCTCTACACTCTTTCTAGAGCTTCAGCATCTTTTTTCTATTGTGGTGACTAGAATTGGATGCAATATTCCAAGTGTGGCCTCAGAAGTACAGTATAAAGTGGTACTATCACTTTCTGTAATCTTGATAATATCCTTCGGTTGATGCAGCCTAGGACGGCATTGGCTTTTTTGGCAGCTGCAGTACACTGCTGGTTGATACTTGTGATAGTCCACTAGGATATCCACTCACAATTATTACCATGTTTCCCCGAAAATACAACCTACCTAAAAAAACAAGCCCTAGCCCAATTTTCACGCCTGCGCCTAATATAAGCCCTACTCCCCAAAATAAGCCCTAGTTAAGCCCCGCCCATCATCTGGTTGTATGAGGTGAGGCAAGGTGCAGGCATAAAAATCAAGCTAGGAAGGGGTGGGGTTGGAGCTGCCCCACGCACCTCACACCCACTTACCTTAGGACTGCTGCAGCCAGGCCTCCCAGGCCTCAACACCTGTCCCGCTGCTGCCCAACTTCTGCAGCCACTTGCAGCAGCTCACGGCTTGACGCCACATGGCGCATTGCGCTGGTGCCACTGCTCACAGCAGAACACCACAAGGCTCGTTGCGCCAGTTCTGCTTGTGCACCAGTTCAATGTGCCATCCTCCTGCCATGAGCGGTGACACAGGCACAATGAGCCACATAGTGGGCACCAGTGTGACGAGCCATGCAGTGCCTGGTTGCGAGTGGCTACAGAAGAAGTTGAGCAGTGGCACAACAGGTATTGAGGCATGGGAGGCCTGGCTGCGGCAGTCCTAAAGTAAGCGGATATGAGGCGCATAAGACATACCCTGAAAATAAGACCTAGTGCTTATTTTGGGCTCAAAAAGAAAATAAGACTGGGTCTTATTTTCGAGGAAACACGGTACTATTCAGCCAGATCCGACTATTCCATACCTGTGGATTTGCTTTTTCCTGCCTAAATGCAGGAGTTTACTTTTCTCACCACTTTGAACAGTCACGAAGCAACCAGTCATTGAGTCAAGGACTACCTGTAATGGGAACTGCTCTATCCCTCTTACTGGTATTATGATGATGATTGTGATTATTATTCTGTTGCTTTGCATGTACATTGAGAGCTTCTGCACCGGAGACAAATTCCTTGTGTGTCTAATCATAGTTGGCCAAATAAAGTATTTCTTTTTTATTATTTTATTTTATTTTATTTTATTTTATTTTATTATTTTATTTTATTTTATTTTATTTTATTTTCTAGTCTAGTTATTATTCTATTCTATTCTATTCTATTCTATTCTATTCTATTCTATTCTATTCTACTATTCTATTCTATTCTATTCTACTCTACTCTACTCTACTCTGTCTTCTCTTCTCTTCTCTTCTCTTCTCTTCTCTTCTCTTCTCTTCTCTTCTCTTCTCCTCTCCTCTCCTCTCCTCTCCTCTTCTCTTCTCTTCCACTCCACTCTACTCCAGAAAATGTAATGGGTCAAACAAATATAATCAAATTAAATTAAAATACTAATGCTATTTCTTTTGAACATTGTTTTGAACGGTGATTGAGTTGCTCCACACAGGTTATGCCCTTGAAATGATAGATGATTTTGGCTTTGAAAATCAGAAATCTCTTTCTGATTTCTAGGAAAAAAAGGAGATCATACAGACCCATTGGGAGAATTGGAAGAACTGAATTAACATGCTATTTTTCATAATATTTCACATTTCTATCCACTGTAAAAGATTTCTGCTTGCATTTATTGACACACACGAACAAAAGGGCAAAATTATGGTGGAATGAGTCCCCAGTTGGCGAACAGCAAGAATGGATATACAAGCAGCCCTAACCTATGGTTTGTTTTTTCAGTTTATTCGATGTCAAAATGGTTGGGTTTACATATAACATTAAGTAATTCTTAATTTACAAGCCACAATACTTGAGATTATCCAATACAACTAGTCCCAACTCAAGTAAATCACATGCTGCTGTGAACCCAGAGTGTATTAATGATATGGTTTATAATAGTGATGGTGATTATCCTGCAGCCTCCAAAAAGAGCGGGAAAGCACTCCCCATTCTTGTACACTTTTTGGAGGCTCCAGAGGCCACCACCTCTGTACACCACCTTCTCATGCAGTACACCACCTTCTCATGCAGCCCCAGACATGTCATCAAAAATGACATGGCACATCATTTGTGACATGTGTGTCATATGCCAGTTTATAGTAATAGGACTGATAATAATAGAACTAGTAAATAATAATAGAACTGATAGTGTGTCAAAGAGTACCGTTTCTGGAAATGCAGCTTCCCCAGCATGACCAAGACCAGAAGTACGAGAAGGGTGTTGCCACTGAGTGGTTCCTGTGGGCACATGCCAGTAATAGGTACCAGAAGAGTCATGGATTTTCCTCCATCCCGAAGGAAGGTCGAGCTCTCCTTCCATGTTTTGGTCATTCCACAGGTTATCTAAAAAGAAAAGATATGCTGATTCTAAAATAGAAGTTTAATTTCGAACCATTGGGATAATATTAAAAAGAAAAGTAAATCAAAATGTTATTCAGTTTATCTTTTTTTTATTTTAGAGCTGGGGAAATTCATTTTGTGGTTAGTTTATCATTTCAGTTGAATCAATGTCTATAGTTTCTTCCCCTAACAAGCTGAAGCTAAAAATTACTACTCATGATTATACCACAGAAGCTGAAAAGCAGTTGAAAGCCACTTTAAATAATACAATACACAAATTAGACATGTTGTTTATCCTTATCTCCAATCATCCCAGCCCTACCCAAAGATCATCCAAAACATACAGCTGTTTTTATATCAAGACATCCATGATTAATCTTTTAAAATGCTCAGACATGCCTGCAAGTACAGTTCACACTGCCAAGGAAGCACAGGAGGTGGCAATCAGATTACCCATCTGTGATTGCATTTTAAATTATTGTATACCCAGTTATTGATATGACTACATGTGGACAACTCCACTCACTTGCAGGACTCCAGAAGAGAATGTTCAGGGTCAATTTTGGGGATACACCTTGACCTGTGTAGATGATTGCTCTTAGAATAAAATAAAGCAGCTTCCAAATAGCAACTGTTTTATCTGCATCAGCCCCAGAATAGATTCCATGTAAATGCACCTGTATATGCAATATGCTGTTCTGGAAAAGATAGAATAGATAAATAGAATTCTTTATTGGCCAAGTGTGATTGGACCCACAAGGAATTTGTCTCTGGTGCATAAGCTCTCAATGTTCATACAAACAACAAAGTGATAGGTCATATATCATTGATCATAATTGCAATAATTAATCATAAGATACAACAATAAGTGATAATCATAGGTATCAATAGGAGAAGGTAGTAGGAAAGTTGAGAAGATAAGAAAGATGAGAAGAAGTTCTGGAAAAGCCAGAGTTTAAGCACAGTCTTTCAATTAATCAGTTATGTGAGCACAGAGAGATCTAACTTCTAGGGCAGGAGTGTCAAACTTACGCTGTCACATTGTCATCATTGTCACGTGACGTATTGGGACTTTTCGCCCCTATCGCTAAAATGGGTGTGGGCATGTCCAGCGCATGACGCATCTGGCCCGGAGGCTGGGAGTTTAACAGCCCTGTTCTAGAGTGATCAACAAAACTTAATTAATAATTTAGTAACTGACTCCCAAATGAATCCCAATGATGAATTCAAAAAAGTTGGGTGATTGGATGTCTGTGTTCAATGAGAATTGGTCAGGTGAGAATTTGTTTGGAGGTGGCCCCATTAACATTGTAAAACTGAATTTTCAAAAACCATGTTGTTCATCAGGAAAGGCTCCTGAATGAATTTAGCAATTGTGGGAGAAGATCTGTCCTTTTATGAATGCTAACTGGTTAAAAACAGAAAGCCATACATAAGAATCAGCAATTTTCTCAACAGATCTGTCTTGAGCACAGTGTTTTTAAATGTGTTCATAAATAATCTTGATTTAAGGAGCCAGTGTGGCATAATGGTAAAGGCTAGAATGGGTGCAGAGAGACTTGGATTCTAATCCTCCTTCAGCACAGAAGGCAGCTGGGTGATCTTGGGACAGTTTCCCCCTTAATCAACAGCAGGCTCTACGGCAAGCTGGCTGAAAAACAAAACTCTTCATCACATCCTGTACTGATAATTTCACTGTGTGAAGTAGGAGAATGCTGTGCAAAACAGGTAGACCCTAAAGTCAAGCAGGATCTTTAGCTTAGAAAAAAAAGCAATGGAGGGATCACAAGATAAAAAGGGTATAAAGTCATGCAAGACAAGGAGAAAGAAGATGGAGAAACTATTTCTCAGAAGATTAGGATTAAGATTTATCCAATGAAGGTGATTGGAAGTAATATTTAAAGACAAAGGAAAACTCTCACATTGCACAAGAGTCAACAGTGCGTGCACAAAGAGGTGATTGTGCACGAAGCGCGTGCACAAAGAGAACCAGTAGTAAAGCCGGTTAGAACCCACCATTGCTGCAATTGCATGTTTTATAGTATAATACTGTTTAATGAAGAAGTGTAAGTATGGTGATATTGTGAGCAAAATACTTATTAATGAAGACTGAAGTAAAAACGTTATTTATAACTGGGTTTGTGAAACAAGGAGAAACTGATGAAAATATTTCAAATTATCCACTGCAAAAATCTCTTAATAGATAAAATATTTTAATGTAGCTCTTAAGCACATAATCAGCACTTCATTTTATACTGGATTATACAATCCCGCTGTTTAGGATGAAACCATAAAGCCTTAGGAAAAATCTCCAGAGATCCACATAAGTGGTTTCCAAATTGGCATAAAATTGTTAAATATATGCCTGGAGAATCATCTTAGGAACAACAGTATATTTAATTGTAATAGTTTTGCTCAGATTCTTCACTAGTCACTATGTTATTTGACAGATAAATTGATCCATTGTTTTTGTAACAAATAAACAATAATTTACCCAAATTCAGTAAGTATGCGGTTTTACACCTGTGCTGTCAAAAGAAATTCAAGAAACATTTAAAGTTTTTAAATGTTTGTTGAATTTGTGATCATATGGCAGACTGCTTTAAACTGGGTTAATCTTATTGAGGTAATTAGGTTGAAATTACAGAGTTTGCCTAATCAAGCTCTCATTGCCAGATCTCATTAAAAATCTTTGGGGTTTCAAAAATACAAATGTATGGTTCCTTATCCCCTACAGTAGTGGCCAAAATTGTGGAAACCTTTTGGGAAAAGTGTATTTTTGAGGTTTGATGGCTAATAACATCCCCCCCCCCTTTTTTTTTGGAGTTTCAAGATAATCATATTCCACTGCTGGAATAGCCTGGGAATAGCCCAGACCTTAACCCAATTGAAAATCTATGGAGCTGACTAAAGAAACATGTTAGTCAGAAGCGACCCTGCAATAAAACCCAGTTAATAGAAGTAATCCTTCAATCTTGGTTTCACATTATAACAGCTGCAGAACTAAAAGACTTGGTTCACTCCATGGGAAGACGTTGTAAGGCCGTAATTCATGCTAAAGGTTACCCAACTAAATATTAACTGACGTGATAATTTTTTGTATATCTTGTTTTTTCTACGTGTTTCACTTTTCTTCTTTATATTGTAACTGCTATTCTAATAGCAAATCCTTCATAAAAGTTATGCATTACATTCTTGATTAAATTATCTTTCCATTGATCTATAATTTTATGGTACTACTCAAAAAAAAAGTGGTGTTATTAGCTAGTTTTAGAAAATACACTTTTCTCAAAAGGTTTCCACAATTTTGGCCACTACGGTAAGTTTGATGTCTTAGAGTACTTTTCTCAATAATGACCCCTCGCCATTTCATATGTCCAGTGTAAAAACAAAGAACATTCTGGGCTACATATGCTCAAGTCTAAATCCTTTCCACTGTGATTGGTCTACAACCAGTTGATACTCTGTGATCTTGTGAACTGAGGAGCAGGGAAATCTATTTCAAACCAAGAAGCCTATATGTAAAATGTATGCCAAAGGGTTTTCTTTATTTTCAAGTAAGTGTTGTTTCCTGGGGTCTGCCTGGACTGCTTGCAGTTTTCTTGGCAATGTTTCAGAAATGGCTTGTTTTTTCTGCTTCCTAAGGCTAAGAGAATGGCTGGCCTAAGGTCCCCCAGTTGGTTCTGTGACAAAGGCAGAACTAGAACTCATGGTCTCCCAGTTTCTAGCCTGGTGTCTTAACATCAAGTCACCAAGTGAAAAGAATGTCTTATATATTCGTGATAGCAAATGTCTCAATAATTCTCTCTACTTCTCTCTTGTTTTCTTACTACTAGGAACCCTTGCTTTCAACAAAACTGATTAACCAGGATGTAAGTTTCAGCCTTGTGAATTAGAGGAATGGATAAAATGATTACATTCTTCATACATTATTTCTTATTTGTGAAATCCTCTTTGAGCTTGGTTATTTCTTACAGATGTTTCATTACACAACTAAACAATATCATCAGTGCAAGTGAATGTGGAAGACTACATCTCCACCAAAACTGGCAGGAAGAGGAAATTTACCATATATAAACAGGGAACAACACAACTCACTCTCACACTGATGATATTACCTAGTTGGCTAATGAAATTTCTGCAAGCAAGCAATCTAGCTTAGAGAGCATCATGGACTTCACAGTTCAACCCTGAGCTACATATATTCTCTTTTATTGGAGTGGGTGGAGTTTTCCCTGCCAAGTTTTGGTGCGGGTATGGTTTTCTCCTTGGTAATTTCTTGATTAGAATACCGTTTTCTGCTGGTGCTGCTAGAGAAAATGTTTCTGGTCTTTTGGTTGCTTTCTTAACTTTTTTTATTCTCTCTTTTGAATGCTGTGGAAATATAGTTTATCTCTACATGTTTATTGATGGTATTCAATAAAAATGTCATCAATAGACAATTAGAAATAAACCATATCATCCAGGAATTCCCTACCAATTTTGGATTTGGCTTGGATTTCTTTTTTTAATTTGGCTTTGGATTTCTTATTTTAATTATTTAAATACAGAAAAAAATTGGGAGGTGCTTAAAATGGGGAAAAGGGAAAATGACTCATTCTGGCTTTTACATATTATTTAGCTGCAAATAGAAAATTTTATACAACAAAAAGAAAAGGAATAAAGACATTGAGTGCCTAGGAAAAAAATTAATGTAAAACTATGTGCTACTACATCCCAGCCTTATTTCTTGATACAAAGTTTATTTCACACAACAAACCTTCATTAAGATATACCTGCATAAACACATGCATAGATTGTAATTTTAAATACATTTATTTGTACTTAAATGAAATAATTCATTTAAGTACAGTAGAAGAAAGAATATGAATGCAAGTCAAAATATGCAAGAAAATGGTAAGAGCAAACCTATCCAATCAAGATGAATTCAAATTATCAGGATCAGATAGATTACATCCCATGGTTCTGAAGGAGCTGGCAGATGTGATATCGGAACCACTGACCCAGGGGTGAAATCCAGCAGGTTCTGACAGGTTCTGGAGAACCGGTAGCAGAAATTTTGAGCAGTTCAGAGAACCAGTAGCGGAACCTTTAAGTAGTTCGGAGAACCGGCAAATACCACATCTGGCTGGCCCCAGAGAGGAGTGGGAATGGAGATTTTGCAATATCCTTCCCCCAGGAGTGGGGAGGGAATGAGGATTTTGCAGTATTCTTCCCCTGCCACGCCCACCAAGCCACACCACACCCACCAAGCCACGCCCACAGAACCGGTAGTAAAAAATTTTGGATTTCACCACTGCACTGACCCATATCTTTCAAACATCATGAAGCATTAGGAAGCTACCAGAGAACTGGAAAAAAGCTGATGTTAATCCCATCTTCAAAAAAGGGGAAAATGATTAAGGAAATTACAGACCAATCAGCCTGATATCAATATCTGGAAAAGTCCTTGAAAGGATAAGGATAATCAAGCAGCAGATTCTCAAGTACCTAGAAACTAGCAAAGCAATTATGGGTAGTCTTCAACTTACAACAGTTTGTGTAGTGACTGTTCAATGTTCAACAGCATTGAAAAAAGTGACTTAGGACCATTTTTCATAGTTATGATAGTTGTAGCATATCCATAAAGGTAAAGATAAAAGTTTCCCTCACACATAGGTGGTATTCATTCCCGACTCTAGGGGGCATTGCTCATCTC